ACATGTATTCCTTTCCCTCCTAATAAATATTTAACTTGTGTCATGACTTTCTCTATGTGGAAATTTATTTCTACAAAGCTGTCAGGCCAGGGCCTTGTCACAGGTCACTGGTCTGTGGCTGGGATTCAGAGCTCTCACTGCCTCAGCCTAACTTCAGCCTCTGTCTGGGAACTGAAATCCTGCTTCAAGCTGCTGCAGGCCAAGGCCACTTGAGATCAACCGGATGAAGCGGAGCTGCTCCAGCAACAAGGAGCTCCTGCTTCCAGACTGTTATGTAAGAGGTCGGTATACGTCCATTTCTTTTAAGCCACTATATATATATTTTTGGTCCTCTCATTAAAGCAACTTCGCCTTTATTCCCATCTAGGACATAGGGTGATGGCCAAGAAGGGAATAGTGGACTCCAGGCAGGAGTTTGGTCAATGATGTCCTTAAGGTTTAATTTCCTCTCTGGGCCTATGACTTCTGAAGGAATCATTCTTTTCCCATACGCCCTGCAATGTGGACTGCAGGTCACATGTCCCTATTTCCATGCCAAAGCCTTACAAGTTGATTGTAACATAGCAATTTGATTTTAGGGACCAGTGCCATGTTTAATGTAGAAGTGTAATTAATTGGCTTCTCATTATTTCTGTAAGAACTGGTGGGTTCTTTGTGATTGAGAAGCACACTCCCTGATTGCTCATCCCTTCTTAAGAGTGAGAAATTGGGATTTCCCTGGTGATTCAGTGGTTAAGATTTTACCTCCCAATGCAGGGGGTGCAGGTTCGATCCCTGGTCGGGGGGCTAAGGTCCTGCATGCCTCTCCACCAAGAAACCAAAACAGAAAACAGAAAAAAAAAAAGAGTGAGAAATAGATACATGCACACAGAGACACACACACAGGGAGAGAACCCTGAGGCTGTTTCTCTCCAGGGCAGCCTGTGGGAGGAGAACACACAATGGCCAGCGTGGTGCGGCTGCACCTTGGGCAGGGACTGGGTCTGGCCAATGAGCCAGAACTCACTTGTTGTCAGTTTGGGGCCGATCCCAGGGTCCTTCTCTAGCCAGCAGTCTGTCTACCTCTAGAAGGCACACAGCATCGTGATACTCATCATGAAGGGTGATGAATACACAGGCTCTGTTATCCTCTACACTGTTCTAGACCTTTGGATGGTCACTGGTCTGTGGCTGGGATTCAGAGCTCTCACTGCCTCAGCCTAACTTCAGCCTCTGTCTGGGAACTGAAATCCTGCTTCAAGCTGCTGCAGGCCAAGGCCACTTGAGATCAACCGGATGAAGCGGAGCTGCTCCAGCAACAAGGAGCTCCTGCTTCCAGACTGTTATGTAAGAGGTCGGTATACGTCCATTTCTTTTAAGCCACTATATATATATTTTTGGTCCTCTCATTAAAGCAACTTCGCCTTTATTCCCATCTAGGACATAGGGTGATGGCCAAGAAGGGAATAGTGGACTCCAGGCAGGAGTTTGGTCAATGATGTCCTTAAGGTTTAATTTCCTCTCTGGGCCTATGACTTCTGAAGGAATCATTCTTTTCCCATACGCCCTGCAATGTGGACTGCAGGTCACATGTCCCTATTTCCATGCCAAAGCCTTACAAGTTGATTGTAACATAGCAATTTGATTTTAGGGACCAGTGCCATGTTTAATGTAGAAGTGTAATTAATTGGCTTCTCATTATTTCTGTAAGAACTGGTGGGTTCTTTGTGATTGAGAAGCACACTCCCTGATTGCTCATCCCTTCTTAAGAGTGAGAAATTGGGATTTCCCTGGTGATTCAGTGGTTAAGATTTTACCTCCCAATGCAGGGGGTGCAGGTTCGATCCCTGGTCGGGGGGCTAAGGTCCTGCATGCCTCTCCACCAAGAAACCAAAACAGAAAACAGAAAAAAAAAAAAGAGTGAGAAATAGATACATGCACACAGAGACACACACACAGGGAGAGAACCCTGAGGCTGTTTCTCTCCAGGGCAGCCTGTGGTAGGAGAACACACAATGGCCAGCATGGTGCGGCTGCACCTTGGGCAGGGACTGGGGCTGCCCAATGAGCCAGAGCTCACTTGTTGTCAGTTTGGGGCCGATCCCAGGGTCCTTCTCTAGCCAGCAGTCTGTCTACCTCTAGAAGGCACACAGCATCGTGATACTCATCATGAAGGGTGATGAATACACAGGCTCTGTTATCCTCTACACTGTTCTAGACCTTTGGACTATGTCTTCTGGAAAGACTTACAAAGAGGAGTACAAATACACTTTTTGACCTCTACCGTCTAACATTTTCAACTATTAACATTGCCCCCAAACACATTAAATAGCACTCAGAATGCACCACATAATAAATAACAAACGACTTATGCATTCTTATCTTAAGACGTTGATTCCTGACTTGAGTCAAGAATGATGGGAGCACTCTAAGGCATTATTCAAAAGCAATGGCCAGGAGTGACATACTGTGTTCAAAGACTGGGGGATTTGACAGAGTTTGGTGTCAAGTCTCCCCACATTGTTCTATGGGTTTATGCAATTGCTATCAAAATCCCAGTGAAGTTTTCTATAGACATAGGTAAGATAATTCGAAAACTTACATGGAAGGGCCTTTTTTGCCTTCTTTTTAAATTGAAGTATGGGGCCTCCGTGGTGGCTCAGTGGTAGAGAATCTGCCTGCCAGTGGAGAAGACACGGATTTGATCCCTGGTCTGGAAAGATCCCACATGCCAAAGAGCAACTAAGCCTATACGCCACAACTACTGAGTCTGTGCTCCAGAGCCCACAACAAGAGAAGCCACTGCAATGAAGGGTAGCCTCTGCTCCCCACAGCTAGAGAAAAGTCCACGCAGCAGTGAAGACCCAGCACGGCCAAAAATAAATGCATAAATAAAAAGGATATTCTAATTTAAAAAATTGAAGTATAAGTTGATTTACAATTTTGTGTTATGTTCACATGTACAGCAAGATGATTCAGTTATATATACATATATATTTTTTTCAGATTCTTTTCTCTTGTAGGTTATTACAAGATATTGAGTATTGCTCCTTGTGCTGTACAGTACGCCTTTGAGGTAGAAAGGCCTTAAACTAGCTGAAACAATCTTGAAAAAGAAGAAGAAGGTAGGAGGAATCATTATACCTGATGTGAAGGTGTTCACACTGCAGGGGCAGGGAGAATATGGGTAGTAACGGGGGTGGGGGGGACCCACTTCATATCCATGTCTGTGAATGGACAAACACAAGCAAGTCTGACCTGGAAAGGCTCAAACCTTTCAGGAATGAGGATTTGGATCATGCCATTGGGAAATCCACTGAAAGCAGCAAAAGAGGTGGCAGAGGGCAAGGAGAATTTAGAATGAATAGTGAAATAAGGAGGCTACAAATATCAATTGCTGTCCTGAGTCCAACCACGGCGGAAGCTGTGCTTTGTCCTACTAACCTCCCTCTCTAGGTTTGCCTTCGGGGGACCAATGGAACTTCCCAGTAACTATCTGAACTTAGTAGTAGCCTTAGTTGCTTAGTCATGTCCAATTCTTTGTGACCACGTGGACTGTAGCCCACCTGGCTCCTTTATCCATGGAATTCTCCAGGCAATAATACTGGAGTGGGCTGCCATTCCCTTCTCCAGGGTATCTTTCTGATCCAGAGATTGAACTTGGGTCTCCCACATTGTAGGTAGATTTTTTACTGTCTAAGCCACCAGGGAAACCCAACTTATACTTATCCTTATATTTATCATCCTTCCCCTATGTTTTAAAATGCCTGGGTTGCTGCACTTGTACACCATCCCAGGTCACCACTGACAAAAGCTGAACAATTGCATGGCGATCTTGAGCCAAGAACTTTCTGCACACCATCTCCTTACCAATGGGTATTGAGCCATCCTGCTCTCTGATTACCCCCAGTGCCCGCTACTGCAGACTGTATCCCTTGTGAAGCAGACACAGATAGAGTAAGGCATGCAAAAGCTCTATTTATTGGCAAGTAAAGGAGAAGGGAGGAGGATCAACCCTGCATACTCATTAGAAGGACTGATGCTGAAGCTCCAATACTTTGGCCACCGGATGCGACGAGCTGACTCATTAGAAAAGACCCTGAGGCTGGGCAAGATTGAGGGCAGGAGGAGAAGGGGATGACGGAGGATGAGATGATGACATCACTGACAATGGACATGAGTTTGAGCAAGCTCCAGGAGACAGTGAAAGACGTGAAAGCCTAGTGTGCTGCAGTCCATGGGGCTTCAAGGGGTCGGACATGACTTAGCGACGGGACAACAACGCAATATGCAAAAGCTCTATTTATTAGGAAGTAAGGGAGAAGGGAGGAAGCAGGATGGGACAAGGGGAGCCTTGAGATCACAATGCAAACCTGACAAAATCTCTGGTAGACCAACGGAGAGCAAAGATTTCAGGTTGGAGGAGTTTGGCAGGTGACAGAAATGGTTAAGCTCATGTTCCCCCAACATTGCTCAGTCATTGGACAGGGGTTTCCCAGAGAACAAGGCCTGAAAGCTGAGGCAAAACTGGGAGGAACGAACAGCTGGAGGCTGTCAGGAACCATGCTGCTTGGAGCTGCACAGAGAATCCTTTCGTGCAGGGGGATCTGAAGGCACACACGTCTCCACGTCTGCCATCCGGGCACGTTTTTACCCTCCTAGCAGAGACAGGGCACAGAGCAACAAGTTGCACTTCACACTCACATTTCAGGTGCTTGCTTACATCACACCTGCTAACATTTGATTGGCTGGAGCAAGTCACGTGGCTTAGTCCAACCCTAAGAGCTGGGAAGTATGCTCTACCCATCTGAGGCCACGCGAGGCTGGGGGTATGCTACTGAGGAACGAAGAATTGGGACCAACAATTAGATCCACACAGGATGAAGGCCCTTTGTAAACCGTGGAGCTCTGGCCGCACTAATTACGATTATTTAGACCTGTCCAAGAGTCAGGGTACCACACACACCCAGGAAGGACCACCACTTGGCTAAAAAGCAAAAGCCACATTCGGTACCTGGAAGTCAAAAGTCGGGGCTTCCCCAAGCGAAGAGGTGCTACTGGGAGGCCCTGGAGAAGCTCTCCCCTCGCCTCTGTTTTCTCTGCTCCCTGGTGACCTACGCACTGGTGGGCGCTGCGGTCTTCTCAGCCATCGAGGGCAGCCAGGACCTGCGGGCAGAGGACCCGGAGTTTGAGGAGTTCTTGGAGAAGCTCTGTGGCATCCTGAAATGTAACAGCACAGGTAGGGGCTCACCTGGTGGGCAGGCCTTTTCTCTGCTGCTGGAAGCAGCCCCCAGAGAAGAGCGGGTTTGGAGGAGGCTTGATCTGGGAGCCCTGTGCCTGCCTCCTCCCCATCCCTGGGCAAACTTAGGCAAGTGACTTCTCTCTGAGTCTCAGTTTTCCCTTCTGTAAAATGGGGGAGAAGAGTGGATGGCCTCTCAGGGTTGTTATAAGGAAAGTAGGAAAAGCACTGAGCATCCAGTAGGTGTTCCCACCCCTTTGCCTCAGCTCTAGCTCCACCCAGACTGGCATGCTCCATGGAGGACGGATTGCTGGAGATTTGATGAGGTGGGGTGGCATGGCTGGCTGGCCAGATCTGGAGTTGGGGATTCCTAGACTGGTCCTCAGAACTGCCTGCCCCACCCTGATTCAGTTTACAGGGACTAGAATTCAAGCAACCATCCAAATTGGATAGGCCCCAGTCTGCCCCTCTGGTCTTCTACTTTTTGTTTCCAAAGGCTTTTTTTTTTTTGTGTGGTTCGACTCAGGGGAGATAAGAAGGGTCCTGAGAAGAACTTGAGTCCTGGTTCCAGGCCGGGTGCTCTCCCAGCTCGCTGAGTGATCTGCGGCAGAGTAATGACCCTCTCTAGGTCTCAGTCTTCCAGGGAGAAGAAGGCCCACAGTCTCAGGTCTGCCAAATCCCAGGGACCCTGTGGGAAGCAGATGAGATAATAGATGTGAAGCCTCTTGGTACGTCTATCCTTATTGCTTTTCACTGGTATTTGTCCACTCTTTCTATTCTGTTCTGTCTCCTAAAACTTGCAAAGATGGACTCAAAAGAACAAGATAAAATAATAGAGAGTGAAGAAAAGACAAAGGAAACACAGACTCTAAAGTTCAGAGGAATAACAGGGTCCACGGTACGACAGGTCCTCAGCCAGGCTGTTAATGACTCCTCTGACCTGCGGGAGGTCCCTTCAGTGGGGGCGGACCAGAGGCTGCTCACAGGTGGCAGAGTCCTTCCTTGGTGGAGGGTCCTTCTCTCTGCATCTGGGCCACTCAGATGACCCATGAGATGCCATCAGACACTGCGCCATCACTGGTTCCAAACTATCAACAAGTTCAGGGCTTTCCAAACCTGGCCACACATCAGAATCATCAAAGGAGCTTGTCTCAAATGCACATTCCCAGGCTCTTCCCCAACCCACTGAAGCAGGATCTCCAGGGCTGGGCTGGGAATCTTATTTTTCAAAAGTTTCCTGGGTGATTCTGAGCACAGAATGCCATGGGGAACAGAGCTGGCCCACCCCTGATTTTCACCGGAGAAAATGCCTGGTAAGCGCTGGGTTCGTGCAGCCCCTGTGCCAAGTGTTTTTCATGCGCTCACTCAATCCTCCCACCAACCCTATGAGTATGAATTGTCCCCCTCTTACAGATCAGGAAACTGAGGCACTGGGAGTAAAACAACTTGCCCAAGGTGACCCATGAGAAAAAGGAGCCAGGGATTCAATCCGAGGCATTTAGATTCCTAAGCCAGAACTTTTCACCTTGTCATGCTTCCTCCTTGATGGGGAAACTGAGGCTCAGAAAGAAGCCTCATGTCCACAGCTCCGGGAACTAGTCAAGGGCAGAACTGGGTCTAGACTGCAGGTGCCTGGACTCCCAGTTCAGTGCCCATTCAAATAAGGATGGATTTTCTTTCATAAAATTATGAACTATTTCACAAAAATAAGAGTTTTCTTTTTTTTTTTATATTTTTTTTTCCATTTATTTTTATTAGTTGGAGGCTAATTACTTTACATCATTACAGTAGTTTTTGTCATACATTGAAATGAATTAGCCATGGATTTACATGTATTCCCCATCCCAGTCCCCCCTCCCACCTCCCTCTCCACCCGATCCCTCTGGGTCTTCCCAGTGCACCAGGCCCGAGCACTTGTCTCATGCAAAAATAAGAGTTTTCTGCTGTGTGCCTGGATGTGTGATCTTCTCTTATAACAGTGCCAGCTGGCAGGCAGTTTCTGGGATCCCCAAACCCCCTGAGTACTGGGCCAAGGGAATCATTTGGGAACCTCCTTGAGAAACCAGGGTCCCCAAGCTGGCCTCCACCCAGGCTTCCCAGATATTCTCAGGCAATTGATGCCAGCCTGATCCCCATGGTCAATCAGACTTAATGGTCTCCGGGAGTGGGGATGGTTTGCAATCATGCAACTCCTCGCATTTCATGAAAGCCTTTTCCTTTCAGTTCTCAAGACCCCAGTAAAAGAGACAGAGCAGAAGTTAGTAAGCCCCTTTGCAAGGCTCAGAACGTTCAGAAAGCCCCCAGGGCACTTCCATGATGACCTCAGGCTGGTGGGCATCTCTCTCGGGTGCTCGTCACACAGGTTTATGTGGGCTCCTGATCTCCGCAGCTGCTGGAGCAGGACCCAAACTGCAGAGACGTTGAGCAAAGGGCTCCGAGAACCCCCATCTCGAGTTGATGAGGGCCACAAGGCAGGGGGCATGGTCCCGGGGGAAGACACTCTTTCACCTGGGCGGAACCTGTTTTAGAGGGTGGGACCCTCTCACTCACTCCAGTCTTGTCTCTCTGGAGTTGAGGAAGGCCGGAAGCGGGACCTCGAGAAGCTGCTGCAGAAGGTGAAGCCCCAGTGGTTTACCAGGTCTGCAGACTGGTCCTTCCTCAGCTCACTCTTTTTCTGCTGCACAGTCATCACCACAGTGGGTAAGTCCAAGGGCAAGGGTGGGCTTGTAAGAGAAAGCAGAGGTGGGGGGTGGGGGAACCCTTAGCAGGGATGCTGAAATGTTCACTTCCTTTAGTGCAAGAAATGGGTGTGCAGTGCCTACCCTGTGCTCAGAAAGATGGCAGTGAGTGAGGCTGCCACTGGCCCATTTGTGCGAATCAGGAAAGCATACCCTTCCAGTTCAGGCTTCCCTGGTGACTCAGATGGTAAAGAATCTGCCTGTAATGCTAGAGACCCAGGTTTAATCCCTGGATCAGGAAGATCCCCTGGAGAAGGGGATGTCAACCCACTCCAGTATTCTTGCCTGGAGAATCCCATGGACAGAGGAGCCTGGAGGGCTATGGTCCAGGGGATCACAAGAGTCTGACATGAGTGAGCGACTTAACAAGCACCACAACCTTTCCTTCGGGTGGGGGCAGCCCCATGCGGAGGTCCCAGTAGGCAAGGTGCAGGCTGCATTTCAGCTTCTTCTTTGTCTCCGGGTGAGTGCTCTTGAACAAAACATAACCTGCCGTGTATCTCCTGCCCCGGTTCCTGGACTCAGGGGCAACCAAACGTGCAGTGTGATGTGCTCAGCCGCTCCAGCCTTGGGGTTTCAGAGTCACCGGCACACTGTGGTGGCAGCTGACTCCGAAGGAATGGAGGAAGGCGCTCGAGGAGGGCTCGCTGCGGAGAGGGAGGATCGTGTGTGAGAGCAGGACCGGAGCACTCGCCGTGAGACAGAGGAGGAGCGGGAGCTGCAGGGCTAGCGAGAGCTAACAGCTGCCTGCAGGGGCTGTGCTAAGCCACCTCCTTTAAGGCCTGCAGGGAATCAGGTCAGGGAGCCTGAGCCCAGAGAGCGGATGTCAGGGGCCAAGGTCACGCAGAGAGTGGAGCTGGTGCCCGTGACAACCGCTGAGGCCCCAAGTCCAGTGCTCCTTCCCCAAAGGAGGCTGCCGGCTTGCAGGTCTGTGGGAGTGCCGTGGGGACTCTGCCACCTGCTGCTCAGGGAGCCCCTGGGAGGGCCTGGCTGTGCCTGGGAAGCGGGGACCCCCTCGGATTCCTGTGTCCACTTGGAGCAGATGACGGTGCCCGGAAAGAAGGGGCTTGCAGAGAGGAAGGAGCTGGCTTCACCCTGTTCCCTGCACTTGTTGTATATGTGTCTCCAGCCTCGGAGCAAGGGAGAGACTTCCGTGTGAGTCCTTGTCCCTCCCAGAGCCCCGGCAGAGGAGAGGGTGTGGGCACAGACCTGCCCCCACCCCACAGTGACCACTTGCATGTTTAAAGATGGACTTGTTGACCCTCAAAGCCACAGACTCGCCTCTCGATGGCTGCACAAAGGGCGGGCTCAGGGAATGGCAATCCACTCCAGGATTCTTGCCTGGAGAACTCCACGGACAGAGGGGCCTGGCAGGCTACAGTCCATGGGGTCCCAAGGAGTCAGACACGACTGAGCAAGTAGCACTTTCACTTTTCACTTTCCTGGGTGACAGAAAGCACTGGAACTCAGCCATGGAGATAGGCTTTGCAGCCTCCCTTCTCCCCCTCTTTCCTTCTTTCCTTAATGGACACATACTGAATGCCTGTGACTGCAAGAGCAGCTGCTGCACTGGCTAGCACGTGTATTTACGACTGACCAGGCTCGAGTCTAAGTTCTTTGCCACGATTAGCCTGCTGAAGCCTCGCAGCGGCCCTGAGGTAGCTGCTGGTGTCCGTCCCGCTCTCTGGATGGGGACAGGGAGGCAGGGCAGGTCCGCCCTGTTTGCAAGGTGACAGCTCATGTGTGTCTGGCTTCAGGCTGTCTGGGTCTTAACCTGAGACCCCACTGCTTCTGTCCAGGCCTGACTTTCTCTGTGCCCAGCACGGGACTGAAGTAGGTGGACGCCTCCCACCCCAGTGCAGCTCAGAGTCTAACAGAGGGAGGAACAGTGAACAGCTGAGCATGCAGACGAGCTCAGAGGAGAAGCTTGGACTGTGGAAGTGGGTGGAACAGGATGTTGGGGTGATCCTGATGGGTGGGGAGCAGGGAGAGGCTTGTCAGTGAAAGTAGCATTGGAGCTGAAGGATCTGTGGATGAACCAGGTGAAGAAGGCTGAGAGAGCTTTCCAGCCAGACAGCAGGGCAGAACTCTGAGGGAGAGGCCACCGAGGCTGGCGGGCTGTGAGGGATGGGGCTGGTCTTGCGTTCAAGCACCGTATCCCTAGGCCAGTGTCGGAGGGCCTCCTAGCATCTGGGCCCATACATTGGCCACCTGATGCAAAGAACCAATTCAGGGGAAAAGACCCTGATTCTGGGAAAGATTGAGGGCAGGAGGAGAAGGGGATGACAGTGGATGAGATGGTTGGATGGTTTCACTGACTCGATAGATGTGAGTTTGAGCAAACTCTGGGAGATGGTGGGGGACAGGGAAGCCTGGTGTGCTGCAGTCCCCGGGGTCACAAAGTCAGACGCGACTGAGCTGCTGAACGACAGGAAGCTTCCCTCTGCAGGGCAGAAGCAGGAAGGGCCGGGTGAGAGCGGCCAAGCCAGAGTTGTTAGGAGCCTCCCCTGCTGGGGGCTGGGGTCACCGTAGTGGAGGCGGTGGAGCAAGGAAACTTCTTCTGAGAAGCCTCCCGCCCCAAGCCAGTTCCTGGCAAAGGGGGTTGGATTACCGGGATGATTTAGATTAACTGGATCTATCGCTGAATCAGATGAGGGAGCAGCGGCCTTCCAGGGAACGACGGGGAATGGCTGCGGGATGGACAGCCAGTGTCTACTGTGACAAGCTTGCGTAAATGGGCATGTGCTGTGTCCAAGGGCGCCCCCGTGTGGCTTCCTTCAGAACAGCTCTCATTCACCTGAATGCCGATACAGGCAGGGACAGGTAAGGGGCAGAAAGAGGGGTAGTTGTTTAGTTGGTAAAGGAGTAACAGCAACTTAATAGCTGTGCTACTGAGCACATACCAGCGTCAGGCATGGTGTCAGCATGTTTTATATGCACGATTTTATTTAATCCTCACAACAGCTCTACAAGGTAGGCACTGTGACTGCCCCTTTGGGGAGTGACCTTGGACTTTGGCACGGCCGATGTCTTAAACTAAAGGATTCTTTACGGTGGGGGCTGTTCTGTGCACTCATGGTGGGATGTTTAGAAGTATCCCTGGCCTCTCCCCACTATGGAAACCCAACTTTTCCCCTGCTGTCTCCACCAGTTGTGAGAGCCCAGAATGTCTCCAGACATTGCCAGATATCCCTCAGGGAGCAAAATTGCCCCCTGTTGAGAACCACTGATGTGATGTAATGATTATCAGATCATGGTCGGGTCCCTGGACGAGTGGCATGATTATCGCCAGAGAACCTGTTTAAATACAAATTAATTGTCAGGCTCCATCCTAGACCTACTGGGTCAGAAGCTATGGATGTGGGGCCAGTGAACTGTGTTGTAACCAGCTCTACATGTGATTTTGATGCACAAGACATTTGAGAAACAGTCTCCTGGGACAAGTGTTCTCAGGCCAGGCTGCACATCAGAATCACCGGGTTATCATTTACAGGCGCCCCGCCCCACCACCACCATGCCTGGACCCCACACCAATCAAGTCAGACTTACTCGGGACAGGCCCAGGCATCACTGTTTTTCAGAGCCCTCCAGGTGATTCTAATGGTAGTCCAGGCGATGAACCACTGATCTAATGGAAATGCATTAGCTTGGTTTAAATCCCAAGAAAACAATGCTCCCACTCATGTCCAAGGCCATTAGGACATTAGGCCATCCAGTAATTGCTACCGGAAGGGGATGTTGGGGCAGTCTCTGCACTGCCCGTAATCAATAATGGCCCTGCTGATAATGCTGCTTGCTGCCCTGCATCTCTGGGTCACCTGAAATGCACCTGATCTTATGCTGAAGAAGGGACCCTGGGCAGATACGAGGCTGATCAATCCCCAGTCATTGCCAAACGGATCAGCCCCCTGGGATTTGAGGGTGCATGGGCTGTTAAATCCTCATAGACTAAGTGAGGTGAACTGATGGCATTAAAATATATGCCTGAATTGTAAGAAATGATATGATTTTTCCATTATGTGTCCTAGCATTCAGTAATTGGGAAGACAATCCATTTCCTTCACAGGAGCCTATGCCCTGAGACTTGCCTCTCTGCCTTGTGGCCCGTCCTCTGGATTGCAATCATATTCCACTCAGAGGCGGCCACAGTGACTTTCTTTATGATCCACTGAACCCACCTTTGCCAAGGACAGCATGTGGGTTGGGGGGAGGGGGCAGAGGTCTTTGGGCAAGTGGTGCACATGCTTGTTGGCTGTGGGCTGGGTGACCCCACGTGAGTCACCTGGCTTTCCTGTTCCTTGCCCATTGACATGTAGTAATAGGGGTGGTTAGCAGCATTAGGGGTTCTGCTATGCAGGGAAGTCTGACTCTAAAAGGCATTTTACTCCATAAATCTGGTAAGAAATGTGATATTATTTTCTTTACATAGATCTCACCTTAGGACCCCATCCTGGAGGTTGGGGGGCTTCCACTGGGAGCTTTTCCTGATTTTCCTATGGGTGCACGAAAGCTGGGGACTTATGCAACATCTGGAAAACGGGATGACTCCCTGCTTACGGGCCCCACTGCTGACATCTTTTAAGGACTGCTGGCCCTGAGGGGCCTGTAAAAAGCTCGGGCACGGGAACCTTTGCTGACACCCGGGCCTGGACCCCTCCAAGACTCCATCCATGGCCTCTCTGAACTCCTGTCCCCACGAGGGGCTCTGGGCACCCTCCTTTCTCCTCTTCCCTGCCCTGGAGAATCTCTCTGCCCCCTCCACACTCACCCTGGCCTCAGAGAGCAGCTCCCTGGCGTGCCCGAGGCTGCCCTGGCTTTAGCACTTAAGGGTTTTACCAGAACAGGAGACCCTGAGTCCTGGGCACATGGGACAGTTGGTCTTCCTATCCAGAGCCCCCCGTGTTCCCCAGCCCCTCCCTCTCCCGGAGACGCCACTGCACCCCCAGCTCCTCAGCGCTCCTGGGCGGTCACTGGCACTGAAGTCTTGAGGTCCCTTCCGCCACCTCCTCTCCCCGAGGGGAGGGCTGAGCTGCTGGAGGCCTGCAGGGAGCAGAGACTGGAGACGCTGGGCTCCCTCAGCAAGTCCAGCCCCTCTGAGCAGTCCTGGTGTCTGATGGGAGGTTTGGCCAGGGAGAGCTCGCTCCTGCCCCTGGTGCTCTTGGGTCCTGCTGGACACTGAGGGAGCTGAAGTCATGGCTTTGCTTTCCTCTCGACTAGGAGCTCCTGGAGCGCATGACCTCTGCCCGTTCCTCACTGTACCCTCAGTACTGCCCACAGAAGCCTGGCACAGAGTAGGTCCTCAATAAATGCAAATATAGCTTGGATGCCTTTGTTCCCATCTAATGTGTTGTTCACTCGCGTGGGCTTCCCTGGTAGCTCAGTTGGTAAAGAATCCACCTGCAATGCAGGAGACCCTGGTTCGATTCCTGGGTTGGGAAGATCCCCTGGAGAAGGGATAGGCTACTCACTCCAGTTTTCTTGGGCTTCCCTTGTGGCTCAGCTGGTAAAGAATCCACCTGCAATGCGGGAGACCTGAGTTCAATCCCTGGGTTGGGAAGATCCCCTGGAGAAGGGAAAGGCTACCCACTCCAGGATTCTGGCCTAGAGAATTCCATGGACTGTATAGTTCATGGGGTCACAAAGAGTGGGACACGACTGAGTGACTCACTTTCACTCACTAAGTTGTGTCTGACTCTGCGACCCCATGGACTGCAGCACGCCAGGACAGACCTCCCTGTCCTTCACTGTCTCCTGGAGTCGGCTCAAATTCATATCCATTGAGTTGATGCTGCTCTCTAACCATCTCATCCTCTGCCCCCTTCTCCTTTTGCCCTCAGTCATTCCCCCATTAGGGTCTTTTCCAGTGAGTCGGCTCTTTGCATCGGGTGGCCGTGGTTTTATGACTCGTTACTGATCTCCATGTGCAATTGCATACTCACTGTGCTTAGTTGCTCAGGCGCGTCCGACTCTTTGCAACTCCGTGGACTGTAGCCCACCAAGCCCTTCTGTCCATAGGGATTCTCCAGGCAAGAATAATGGAGTGGATGGCTATGCCCTCCTGAGGGGATCTTCCTAACCCAGGGATTGAACCCAGGTCTCCTGCACTGAAGGCAGATTCTTTACCTTCTGAGCTATCAGGGAAGCATACTCACTGGGGTGGTTATTTAATTCATATCTGCCTCCTCCACTAAACCAGAAGATCACTGAGGTTTGATCCCAGTCACTGCTCCTGCCATCATATGGTACCTCGTGGAAGCAGGAGGGTGGCGTGGAGTGCCCTGGGAGGGATGCACACTGAGGAGTCCAGCTAGGAGCCTCCCCCAGGACCCCAGTGAAGATGGGCAGCCTGACCACCCATGTGTGCCTGGAGGACAGATGCTGAGGCCAGAGTTTGCACAGGAAGCAGTGGGCCTGGAGGAGGTTGGGGCTTAGCCAGCTTGTCAATTGCCTTCCAATTAATTTACATAGTTGGGCTGGGGCTTTCTGCATTAATCATCCTTTAGGACATCAAAAATTAAACACAGGCATTAAATACAGAAGCTTCTTCCTCTTTGTGGAAGGCACTGAGCTTACCCACTCCAGAAGATCCAGCGACTTGCGCTGTGGGATTTGGTATCCCTCTGCTCCTGGGCCTCTGTCGACAAGAGAGGAGGCTGGAGTGATGGAAGGAGGAAGCTGGTGAAGAGAAGGAAGACTTCAACCTAGCCCTCTGTTTGCTTGGCTCACCTGTCCTTGATGGTTGGCGTGTCTGGCCCCTTTGGTGCTCCTGACCCAGTGGAGAGAGCTGGCTCGGGAGCTGGATGGGATTTCCAGGCATGCATAATGGATTGGCATTTATTGAGCACCTACTGTAGGCCAGGTTTCAATCCTCTGACCCGCAGCTTCAGTTTATCACATGTATGCTCTTGGCTAAGTCGCTTCACTTCTCTGAGCCTCAGTTTCCCCCTCTGTGATGGTGGTCACCATAGCTACCAGTGAAGGCTGGTTAATACCTGGGCCCCAGTAACTGCTCAAAAAGCCAGCTGTTATTATTAGAACGAGGACATTGACCGCCTGGGAATGACACACCCACTGCGTGTGAAGCACTGGTCTCTTGTAATCCCTCCACTGGTCAGTATGCAAAGCAGGGATGGTCCTACCCACTTTAGAGATAAGAAACCTGAAAATGTGAGCAGTTATATCACTTTCTAGTAAATGGTAGCGCTGGAACTGGAAATGAGGCTGGCAGGATTCTAGATGCTGGGGTCTTCAGCTCTTCAGTGTTGTTCGTGAACAGTCGACTGACCCACTCAACCACAGGTGGCTCTGAAGGCAGCAGTGGTATGTTATTCACTGTCCCTCTTCCTGCCATCCCAAGTACTGTGTGCACTGCTTACGCCACTGGCATGTAATTGCCTCTTATATAGACACAAACCTTATATAGAGGCCCAGACATCCCAGAAAGGATGGGCATGGCTTCTTAGGAACTGCCGCTTTGTGGAGGATGACGGAAGTGATGGGTTTGCTTGCAAAGCCACCACACCCTGTCACCTGCGCTCATCCCGTCTCTCCAGGTGTGCTGGGCCCATCCTCTTTCAGACGCTCAGAGATGGCAGAAGGCAAGGCAGTCAGCTCACTCCCACATGCTGGCTTGTCTCCTGCCAAGGACATGAGTCGTCCCTTACCCTAAAGATAAGCTGGGTTTCACCTCCTACTGCCCCAACCAAAGTAGACCTAATGTCAGACAAGCTGATGAATGTTTTAAGATGAATATTTTAAAAATATGTGGTGCAAAATGTCATGCCAAGGAAAGGAAACGGCAGAAGGTCTCTTTAAAGTTTTTTTTTTTTTTTTTGGGGGGGGAGGGGGAGGAGCCGCCGACCATCTGGCTCGGTCTTCTTTTTCAGGTTACAGCCACGTCTACCCCGTCACCAGGCTCGGCAAGTACCTGTGCATGCTCTACGCTCTCTTTGGCATCCCTCTGATGTTCCTGGTCCTCACGGACATAGGCGACATCCTGGCCACCATCTTATCCACGTCCTATAATCAATTCCGAAGACTGCCCTTCCTCCCCGCTCCCCTTCCCAAGTGGTGCTCCGGACGCTCCTGCAAAAGACAACCGGACTCCCGTCCCGCAGATGAAGCCGTCCCGCACGTGGTCATCCATGACCCGGAGCTCCCGGCCCCCAAACCTGCCCCCGCGGCCCCAAGCAGCAACATGGAGCTGTTCGAGAGACTTCTGGCACGGGAGAAAGACAGCACCCTCCAGGTGCCCCCTCTGGTCATGGAGAGGAGCACGTCGTGTCCTGAGCTGGGGTCCGGGAGGCTCTCGAGCTCCATCATCAGCAACCTGGATGAAGTGGGGCGGCAGGTGGAGAGGCTGGATGTCCCCCTCCCCGTCATAGCCCTCGTGGTCTTCGCCTACATTTCCTGCGCGGCCGCCGTCCTTCCCATCTGGGAGAAGCAGCTGAACTTCGAAAATGCCTTCTACTTCTGCTTCGTCACACTGACCACCATTGGGTTCGGGGATATCATGCTGGAACACCCTCACTTCTTCTTGTTCTTCTCCATTTACATCATCATTGGGATGGAGATTGTGTGCATTGCTTTCAAGCTGGTGCAGAACAGGCTGATTCACCTCTATAAAACTCTCATACTCTTCTTTGCAAACGGGAGGTTTTCCAGTCCTGTCGAAAAGTGAAGGCTCCACTGACTCGGGTTTTCCCATCTTGTTGAAGAAGGAAGGCTCCGTTGACTCTCAGGTGACGCCTCCGGCCAAGCTGGTTGTCTCGTCCTGTGTTTGGGGGCTCTCTAGTTAGACCTGGTGTCGCCTGAGACCTTGGAGTCACATTCCGACACGACATCTGATTACAGTCTTGAGGCCCTGCAGAAATATGGCCAATGTCCTTCCTATCAGGACATTAGAAAAAAAAACTGTCACCATCCTCTGAAGTCCAATTAATTGCCATCTCCATTTTTCAAAAGCTCCCCCAGATGTGGGTCGAACCACCTCACAGATGTCACTGGTTTTCTTGTAACAGGAGGAAAAAAATTACCTTTGATTTTGCCATTTGTACTTTCAGCTAAATTAAACCTCCCTGAGCCGCTCCCCGTTTACCCTTGGTGAAGCAGAGGGAGTCTGAGCCACTGCTTTTCTTGAATGACGCGTGATCGGCCCAGTCCCCGCCCTTGTAACAAACACCGATGGCACTAGGAGAAACTGTCACCTGTGTTCACAGGGGCCTGGCAGATTTCCTGATTGCGAGTCAGTGCAGACTAGGGCTGTCCCCAAGCGGCACAGGATTGCATCTCCTGAGTGAGCTGGCTTGTGAACATGTTGATGTTTATGGGTGGGTACACAAAAGGGCTGGTGCTTATCTGGTGGATGTGAGCTGTTCATGAATGACTGGCATGTGAATGGGGAGGTCTGCGTGGCATGTGGCTTGGTACTCCAGCTCCCTTTGCCGGAGGACTTTCTCTGCCACCAAAGCACAGGCATGCGCAGGGCAGGCTAGAAGTGCCAACGGGTTAACACTCCCGGCCACCTTCCTGAACCAACGACCGGCGGGAGTGGGTGGACGTGTGGCCCCAGCTTCTTGCCCCTCCCATGGGGTAACTTTGGAGCATGTTCAACACTGTCTCCCCAAGTTCCCCAGCGCAATCGAGCCTGCTTCACTTCTCTGTCTCACATCTCCACTCCTCTTGAGATCGCCCCTCGATAACCCACTTGCACTCAAGCCTTGTTTCAGAGTCACTCCTGGGGGCCCCAGCCCAGGAGAGGAAGTACCAAATCTGTATAGAAAGCCGGTTGGCTCGTGTGTGGAATAACATAAGCCACACTGTTTCCCTAGTCACTTATTGGAAGTGTCTTATTGGAGAGAAGCAAAGTTTCCTGAATGCTTCTTTGAGAGAATCTTGGGAAAATCAACTCGTGTCCTGTGATTGGCTAAATTGGATAACCAGTGAATTTTGCTCCAGGGTATAGAACAAAATCCCTGAGTCAGGAAAATCCCCTGGAAGAAGAAATGGCCACACACTCCTGTATTCTTGCTTGGGAAATCCCGTGGACGGAGGAGCCTGGTGGGCTACAGTCCATGGGGTCGCAAAGAGCTGAACACGACTGTTCGCCTGAGCGCACAGGTAGAACAAAAGTTGCAAGAACCAGTGAAAACTGCCAGTGGGCTCCAGTTTGAAGTGAAAGGAAGTCAGCTCCCAGTGGGGGGTGCAGGCCTTGCTTTCCGGATCTTTCCTTTTCTACCCTACTACTGTTGTTAATGCAAGTTAACAATTTGCAAGTTTCTGTGTCAGACACAGAGTGACAGGTTTGTGTTAGTTGCTTAGTCATGTCCTCAATTCTTTGCGATCCCGTGGACTGTAGCCCACCACCGTCCTCTGTCCATGGGATTCTCCAGGCAAGGATACTGGAGTAGGTTGCCATTCCCTTCTCCAGGGGATCTTTCCTGACTCAGGGATGGAACCTGGGTCTCCTGCATTGCAGGTGGAGTCCTTACCCTCTGAGCCACCAGGGAAGCCCAGAGAAAGCTTTGCTGCAAGGCCATGCAAGGCGTTAATGCCCTAGAAAGCCCTGAGCTCCCCAAAGGATTTCAGCGAAGAACTTCTAGAAACCAGGTGAGTGAGAGGGGTCACAGGGTCTGTGATCAGTTCGTGAGCAATACTCTGGCTGATGGTGTCTCATGTGACAGGGTGATGGTGGCAGGGTGGTGTCACAGGGGTTAACATTATCAGTCCCCAGAATTCAGGAGGCCTGGGGCTAGGTGCTCAGGGTTATCAAGTAATTAACATCTTCCATTTGTTGGAGAGGGGGAGGGTTTTTTTTTTTTTTTGCATTCGCCAAACAACTCAGGAAATGTGCATCAAATACTATTATCTGGGTACTTCAGAGGAGCTGAAGCAGAGGATACGGGGGGAGGTCTGTCCCTGGAAGGTCCCATAGGGTCCTTGGTTACACTGTTCAGCTTTTCGCCCCTTTAACTCTTTAAGACCTACCTCAGGAAAGGGAATTGATACAGTGTGAACCGGAACCACTGAAAGACATGGAATTTCAGGCAGCAGCCACTGGGACGAGGGTTTTTGTGAAGTCTCCCCACATCCTTGAAGTCACAGTCGCCCAGTTTCTATGCAGCAAAGCTGCTCAAACCCAAAGGTGATCAAGACCAGCCACTCACGTGAGAGCACAAGATTGGATTCAAAGTCCAGTTCAGCAAACATTCATTGAGTGCTTGCTGTTTTCCAGGATCAGAGAGGATTCCAAAGATAATCAGGCATATTCTCAGAAATGTGGAGGTAATTACTGGTGATATTCAATCTCTCCATGGACAGAGGATCCTAGAGGTCTATAGTCCATGGAGTTGCAAAGAGTCAGACATGACCGAGTGGCTAACACTTCCACACTTCCACTTCTATTGAATTGCTCAGTCCCTCCCTCTGTAAGGAGAGTCCTGTTCAAATGCAAACAGAGTTTGTCAGGGGTAAGTTTTACACAAATTAAAGATGTGCATATTTCATTTGCTAGTGGGTGTTCTGTGGTTCTGAGAAAATAGAAATTCTTTCCTCCAAGACTTATCTTGGTGGTTCTCAACTTTGCCTATACTCTGTCGACTGAAAAATAATAGAGTCACAACCTGAAATTAGANAGATGGTTGGATGGCATCACTGACTCGATGGACATGAGTTTGAGCAAGCGCTGGGAGATAGTGATTGATAGGGAAGCCTGGCATGCTGCGGTCCATGGGGTCGCAGAGTCAGACACGATGGAGCGACTGAACTGAACTGATTCCATTTCACAACACGGACACCTGGGGGGTCAGAGAATTCACGTGTCTGCCCATGTCCTTCCCCTTGAGATTCAGAAGTCATTGGTCGAGGTGCCACTCGGGCTTTTTAAAAGTTCCCCAGGTGATCCCAGCGTGTGGTTAAGAGCTGAGAACCACGCACTAGCTGCTCTCTCACCTGAATGCCCTTCTCCTTCTAGGACTGATGAAGACTTAAGTTCCTGTCTCAGCCCACAAGTCCCCTCCTCTGGGTAGTGTCCCCTGACTTCTGGTCTACCCCATGCTGCCACTGCACCCACCGTAACCCCTTCCTTCGTGACAGGATTGTAACTAGGTCACTCCTCCAACCCATACGTCGCCGTGTCTACCACAGACAGGAGAACTCTGGGCAGAGCTTCGGTGCACGAATGCCAAGGAGAGCAGCCACCCCTTACCGCTCACCTGCCTGACCACGAAGGGGAGAGTCAGGCTCCTGTCATCCTCTGAGAAGGGACGCCTCGGACTTCTCGCCGCGGACACCGGGGGGAGCAACACGTGGGCGCCTCGGACGTCTGTCCCGCATCTCCAAAATCACACGTCTTGTCCAGCTCAAATCAGTGCCTGAAATGTTACTACTTGAGTCTCAGCCACTAGACACGTGGGGTCCTGTTAGTAATCCCGCCGTTAGCTCCCTTTCACCCTGGATGCGCTACCTAACTGGAGAGCAGGGCCCTCCCTAACACTATCCCCTCTCCAGTTTTGGTGGATCGGGCCAAATACCAGAAGGTGGTGCTTGCAATAAAGGATCAGAGACTCCCAGTGACTCAGATGATGGTCAGAGTGATCTACCTGGAAGCAGATCTACCTGGAAACTGATGAAGCTTAAGCTCAGGGTCCCGTGGCTCACCTGAGACCTCCTTTGGCTGGGAGATATGCTGACAGTGAAGTCCCTCAGTTGTATTTTGTATTCATTGGCATTTTAATTTGTTGTTAAATGTTAAACACTCTAGAAGATTATTCACAATCAAACCCAGTTTTGAATGGGAAATTTTATATTGTTTTCTTACAGAAGCCCCTTAAATTGAATCAACATCCACAAACCTGCCCCTGCTGACAGGTACTCAACAGAAGGAAATGCTGTCTAGGGGGACACCCTCTTTGGCCAGCCTCCTGCTGATCCAATGTCCTCCCACAGACAGAGGTCCAGCCGCTTTGTCACTGGCCACAAGGTCCCCTCTGGCCACATCAGCCTCCGCATACACAGGCTTACAGTGAATAACCTTAGGAGGAGCCAGGAACTAACAGGATTTATGCCCTGGTTTCTGCCATGTGGTAAGACTGCCCACTGTTCAGAGATGCCCCCCAAAGAAGGTGACTGATACAAAGAGTCAAGAGGAAAGAACTCGAATGCCAGCCCAGAAACTTCCCCGGGAGCACCTTCAATGTGCTGACCAGGAAGAGGCAGGGCCAGGCCAGCTCTGATCCAAAGGGGCTTGGGGAGACCTAGTGCTTCCTGGAAGGGCTGCTAGGGCCAGAGGGACAAGGAATCAGGAAACCTGGCCAGACCACCAGTCCTGGGTGTGCCCCTGCTTCTGAGTTCTCCAGAGAGGAGAGGATCGCGCCTGTGTCCTGCTGCTTTGACGGGTGGAAAATAGGAACGACCAGTTCCCTAACAATGAAACCTGGCCAGCCAACACAACAACAGTACTAATCTCAGAGGGTTATTGTGAGGATCAAACAAGATAATCCACGTGAAGCGCTGTAGCCCTGTGCCCACCTTTGCATGCGTGCATGCTCAGCCGCTTCAGTTATGTCTGATTCTTTGCAACCCTGTGGACTGTAGCCCGCCGGGCTCCTCTGTCCGTGGGATTCTCCAGGCAACAACATTAGAGTGGGTTGCCATTTTCTCCTCCAAGGGATCTTCCTGACC